AGGAAGGTGCTTGCCTGCCCCTGTGCAGCGGCTCATCAGAGCACGCCAGAGATGATTAGTGATCCCCGAGTGCGAGCAGAAGGCGAGAACAAGCCGTCGGCGCCAGCGACGATTGCCGCATCGGGTGACTCAATCAAGCGGGAGTGGGCTCACTACCATATGTGGGCCGGTGTCTTCGGACACGAGCTCGGACTCAACCCAGACCGTGACTGGGAAGAGAGCGTGAAACAGCTCTACACAGGCGCAATCGCGCAAACCGCTTTGTCTACGTGTCTGGGAGATGTTGATCATGGCTATAAGGCCCTCCCTAAGGTGGCACGGATCAACGACGAGGGGTTGTCGCGTTTCCAGCCCGGCGATAGCCGTGGCCGTGAAAAAGCCTGCATCATTGTTTCCGACTCTACCCTCATTTTCAAGGCTGGGGCGAGAACATTCGTTGAGATGGCGGAAGACTTTAAAGCTCTGACGGGGCCTGGTCATATCCTTCAGCAATACACGAATGTCCGGCAAAAGGCGATTTGGGGAGGCAACCTCCACTCGATCGTTGAGGCAGTTCACACGCTCTTGCCGCAGATCATCAACGAATCGTTAAACCCCTTGCATCTCGAGGTCGATATCGTTGTTGTGTGGATGGGCAACGAACTGTGCGGTCGCAGAGGTGTTTTCGTCGACCCAGGGACGCCACACTGGCAGATTGGTCCTGAAGGCGTTGCCGCGGAAGGGATCTGGGCGGACATTGCCGCACGTGTGTGTGGCGAAATTGGCCGTCTAGCCGCCCTTCAGGGCAGGCCAACAGTGGGTTCGATACAAATCCTCTCGGATGCCGACCCACTGGACTACGGGCTGCCAGCGGAATACAGAACAGCTATCCGAAAATTCCTCGGATACGCAAGGAGCAGGGGGTTGTATACCGCCTCTCTCAAAGAAAGCGTATGCCAGATCCCAAAGCACGACCACTACCACTTCCGCGAAGACTCTACGCATCGCGCAGCCTTGGCCTCTGTGATCGGACAGCGGATTAAAGTGTGTCAAGCTGACCACTTATTCGCAAAGATGCCCGCAGAGACGCTGGATGAGCTGGCCCGCCGTTTCCCTTTCGACCCAGAAGGAACGCGGGTATATTCCATGCAGTATGTCTTCGACAAGGCGCTGTATCGGTCCCAGCTCTCCCGCCGCCTTTTAAGGCAGGCCGAGATTCGCGAAGCTGCGAACGAATGCCCTGATCCATGGGAACCCCCTTATGTTCCTCCACCTGATCTTCCGGTCACTGGAATGCGTGAGGTACCTCAGGATGTCCTGAATTGGGAATGGGCCACAGCTCGCGAGCAGGCACAAAAGCGCGCGAAAGAGCAGGCGGAAGCACGTGCCCGTGCTGAGCGGAAGGATCCAGCCCCACTTAGTGGCGGCCCATCTGGCAGTGCATCATCTCGCGATGTACCGGAGGTGTCCTTTGACGACGTCATCGAGGCCATCCCTTATCGCACAGAGTCTCACCGCACTCTGTCAGCGGCGAAAGAGGGCATGACCAAGAAAGACCGGGACCCTTCCAGCGGCCTTTTAAGGGCTCGCCCACACGACTACATCGGGGTAAAATACCAAGATGACTTGGACCTGATGGAAATGTGTGGCTTCATCGACGAGGATGTGTGCCCAGAGGATCCGGAGGGGAGCGAGATCGTTCAGATCCTCCCCGATTCGATCCCGAAGGACCACCTCCCTGAGTTAGGCCTCAAACCCTATATTGAGCGCTACCTCACAGGTGCTGTCCGAGGATCGAACGTGAAGCTCAGCTCACGGCGCGGGAAATGGGTACGCATCCAAGACCTCATTCAGCACATGTGGAAGAAGCACCGTGTGGATCTGGGAACACGGGGTATCTTGTCCATAGTCGCCTACGATAACAAATCGAGGTTTAACTTGGCAGGCCTCCCCACCGATCCACGTGCTGACTTCATCGAGACGGACATTTGGCCGTCGTGGATTTGTGCGTCGCATGGTCACAGCGAACGCATCAAAGATCAAGTGACTGATTCCTCGATTGCTCTGCATTGGTTCACGAACGATACGCGTGAGGAGCTTGGTCCTACAGCCGCCTATCAAGGCAGGCCATTCCTTGCTCTTGGGGAGTTTCCCCCACGCCTCTATCATCGAACCACGCATGATTCAGCTTTCAATATTCTCTCTACTGGCTTCACGCCGGGGTTCAACCGGAGCGGGAAGTTTCACAACTACTTCGCGAAGGCCACTCTGAGCGAGCTTGAGAATAAAGCCGGCAGCCGAGCAAACCTTCCTTATGAAGTTGTTCTCGACACTCAGGAGGTGAACCGCTATGCCTATCTGTTTGAGACAACTTCCGAAGGTATACTCACTCGCGACCCGGTGCCAGGGAGTTGCGTGCTCTACATCAGAGACACGATCAAAGGCATCATTTTGTGGTCTCGGCAGTCCGGCGAAGAGGAAGACACAATCCTCCCGGAGACTGCCCAGGATCCCATTGTCGATCCTGGAGCAGCTGAGCCGGAGCAGTTCCCCGATATTCCGGAGGAACCTTCAGCCCCACTTAGTGGTGGCCATGAAGAGGTCGAATCAGCAGCGTCTGCAACAGCAGACGAGCCTATGGTTGAAGTTGAGCTTGAGGTTGCGCCACCAGCATCATCACCAGAACCTCTTGCACTCAACGACGCCACAGCATCCGACTTCCTTCCGGAGGAAACCACAACATTGGACCAGGGGGGCGCTTCTCCACCGGAGGCACCGACTGAGTCCAGAAAGCGTGTTCGTTTCCTTGAGCCGGAAGATCCCGTTGAAGTCGAGATCGAGATCGAGCCAGACGAAGGCGATGTGAAAAAGGAGGAAGAAGTCAAGATCGAGCCGATGTTCGAGCAGGCACCGCCTCAGCCGGAATCGACTCCTTTGGCTCTCCCTCCAGCCCCCGTTACGGGTGGCCGTCACAGGGCATGTCCCCACTGCGGTACTCAACACCTTGTGGGACAGATGATATGCTTGAGCTGTGGCGTGCACATCGTGAAGCCTTCCCAACAGAACGCACGCAAGAAAGCGCGTTCAGCTCGTTGGTTCGCTGAAGAGGCCGCCGCTGCCGCTGCGGGCAAGCCACGTTCCCAGCTGACGCCAGAGGAGGTCATTCATGAAATGACCAGAGACTCCTCAACCCAGCGGGGAACTACGTCGCTTGACGCAGAGGCGTTGGACAAAGCCCGGCAGCAGCTCAAGATGGCTACGAAAGGAGGCTACACAAGCATCGTACACCGCTTCGATAACGATGTGGACTACACTATGAGTTCCATCGGCAATGGGTACGATCGAGAGTTTCTGGCCATCGAAGACGTGCTTACGCATGCTGCCCTGCCGAACCATGGCCGTTCAAAGGAGCAACGACAGTTGGCTGTCGGCACCTATGGTGGAAGCTCCGAAGGGCCAAGGAACCAGGAGATTGCCCGGTTGCTCTACTTGCACGAGTGCAATCCAGCCGCCCTTAGGGCAGGCCTGATCTCCGCAGTGAGTGACGATCCGTTTTGCATCATGTGGCTGGGAGGGGCATACAGTTTGCGTAAATTCGTAGATGTTTTCCTCCAGCACAACAAAATCGTGAAGATGATTGTTACTTTCTCAGAAGAGGCACTCTACGTCGATCCACGACTCGGCTATTCTGCCGAGGACTGGACTGAGTGGCTCCGTGGGAAATTCGCGGAACAGGTCGGAATTGCACGCCGTGCATACGAAGAGCGACAGCGCAACGCTGAACGCTCTCGCATCGCACAAGCCAAAGCTGATGCACGCAGAGCAGAGCAACAGCGCTACCAGGAGCAGGGATGGGATCGCGGCTACCAGCGAGGATCCCACCCCTACGGCCGCTCCTCCGGTTCCCGAGGATGGTACTAAGTACCTGATCAACATTTCGTGGTTCCGTCACGTTAACCGGTACTCCGAAATACAGCCCCTCTTAGAGGTGGCCGAATTTCCTTAAGACCAGAAAAATTTCATCTTGCATCCTCTGGCAGTCACTTTGTGACAAATCCGACATCAGGTCTTTGGACCTCGAGGGGAGTCGTCAGCAGCTCCAGTGGATGATGTATTCGTCCCATGCTGCACATGTTCTTGCGACTTGTATCCACGCCATCATTCAAGGCTTGCTGGATCGTCGCCATTTTATAATGCATGTCGCGACTTTAAACTGCGCGCTAAAAGAATTAACCTGCTTCCGTATCTTCCGCTTTACGGTAGTAGAAAGCCTATGAGCCCCGAGCCACAATCCAGCCGCCTTTACGGCAGGCCACACAGCACCAAGCTTCCGTGCATGTTTGCGCCTCAGACTGACGCTTCGGCGAGGGGGGTGTAATTTGTGCACGTGTGAAGTATCATGTTGTGTGTACGGCATTGTGGCACAAGTGCTCTAACAGGAAAAAGGTAGTGACCGAATGGTACAAGCCGTGCTGTTATCACTTGGACGGGTATATACAACAGTGCGTGTGTGCAGTGGTTTACAACAACTATACCGTCGTTCTTGTAGGTTCTTGTTATGGGAGTTTCCGAAAATAGGGGACCCTTATATAGTGCCCTAAATAGTAAGGTCCGTATTATGAGGAGCCCCGAAAAAGGTACCCCCCTATTTTCGGAAACTCCCTTAGGAACCCCTATGCTTCAGCCTTTGCATCCCTCGATCTGCAGTCCTGGCTTCATGGCGCGTCATAGTGCGGCCCCTCAAGTTTAGAGTTTCGGGAGGGTTTATAGGGTTGCTTTAAAGGGCTCTAGCATAATTCTAGAAATCCAGAAGCCCTACATATGTAGACCCTAGCATAATATAGGGGCCTAGATTTAAATAGTTGCCAATACTTTTATTTTTTGGGGGTCGGCTTATCATAATTGTATTATAATGCCCCTATATTAGAGTACCCATATAGATCCCTTTAAGGATCCCTGTAAAGGAAGCCCTATTCTAATTATGAAGGCCCCTAGATGAAGCCCGGAAAGCTCTAGAAGCAATGGCTGGAGCGCTGGCAGAAGGCGGAGATGGAAAGCTCGAGGTTGGGAATAGGCTACTTGGAGGACCACGGGACTTAGTAAGTAAGGTTTTAGGGACTCATAAGTACCATAACCCCAATTTGGGTCCCTTTTAGGGTACGTATAAGTCTACTTACTACCTTAAAGGATCACAGGACTTAGTAACTAGGGTTTTAATTAGGGTAACTACACTTCTAACCCCAATTAAGGTACTTATGACCTTACTTACTAGGTCCCATGATCCTCCAAGTACTCCATCAGGAACGCAACGGAGAGAGAAGGGTTTAGGGGTTTAGGAATGAGGGTTTAGGGTTTAGGGGTTTAGCGGTTAGCGATGAAGGTTTAGGGTTATAGGGATAAGGGATTAGGGTTTAGAGGTTTAGGGTGTGGGGAAATATGCGTTGTAATTGTAGTTACCCTGGCCAGGTAGGATTCGATGACGGCCTTCCGGACAAGGGGGGCTTCTAGAAGGAGTTTTGCTGAAGTAAGGAAAATGAAGGAGACTATTCCCTACAGCGACAAGCTATAGGGGTCTGAATGAACAGGAAATCGTACCCCCTTATTTGGCCCTACTATAGTCATAGTTTGACTAGGTCTTTGAGGCTTCAGTGCGTAGGGCTTCGACCCCCTACATTCAGCCATTTCCAGCACCTGCCAACCCCGATCACTACAAGCTGAGTGAGTTTGGGCTCTTTAAACCCTTGCGACACCAAAAGCCGACTCAACGCCAGACACCTTATCATCGTTACCAGAACACTCCTCCAAAAGCTGGAAACCCTTATATGTGAGTTTCCCCCAAATACGGGATCCTAATATAGCGCCCTAAATATCCTATATTATAAGGACCCTCAAATGATGTACCCCTAATATTCGGAGACCCTTATGTAACCCCCTACAGTACCCTTCTAGAGCGCTTTAAAGGAATCTTAAAGGAACCTTAAACCCCAAACCCTACAGATCCCTTTAAAGGAACCCCTATAGATCCCTTTAAAGGAACCCTTATGGAGCCCTTTAAAGGAACCCCTACGGAGCCCTTTGAAGGAACCCTTGTTGATCCCGAGAACCCTACTTAAAGGTTCATGGGACTTAGTAACTAGGGTTATAACTAGGGTAACTACACTTGTAACTACTTAAAACCCCAATTAAGGTACTTGTAAGCTTACTTTCTAAGTCCCATGATCCTCCAAGTAAAGCCCTGGAGGTGGCCTTCGTCTGCCTCGGAGGCGAAGGCGGCACCCTGCATTTGGACCCGATGAGCTCGGGTGACGAGCTTCGGGTGGAAATAGAGGTGGGGGGGTGTTTAGGATTTAGGGTTCAGGGTCTAGGGCTTAGGGTTTAGGGTTTAGGGTTTGGGGTGGAGAGTATCATGGGGGTTTGAGAGGACTTGATAGGGTTCCATGAGAGTTTCAATCATCTGGCAGGGGTTTTACCTGGGGATTCGCGGTGAAGGCGGCTTAGATTTGGTGGTCTCGTTAGGTACCTTGAGGTCGAGCGTAACATATGGGTAGTCGTCAAAATAATGGTCCCGTTTTGGGTACCCTAAATAATAGGTGCCGTACTATGTATAGGACCCAAAAAGGGACCATAGTTTTGACAACCACCCAGAAAGGACCCTGCAATAATGCCCTGCAATTCAGGAGATAATCCTCTTGGACTTAGCTACGACCTCACGGGCTTGACTCTTGGGGGTTCCCTAGGTAGGCCTTTGGGACATTTTATATTTTCCCTTATCGGGCTTAATAGGACCCTCTTTACGGATAGTTTTCAGAGGCTTTAAAGGGCCAACCTAGTTCCTTTAGAGTTTTGGATAGATGGGGTCCTCTCAAGCTTTGAGGATGAGGGTTTCAAGGGTCCTCCAGGTTCTTTTGGATTTGGTCCTGTTTGGGCTTAGAGATGGTTACAAGTTGTGTGCAAATGCATGTCTATACCTATATATAGATATATGTACACACACCGGTGCCTATGTTTGCAAGTTCTACAGCATTTGCTGGATGATCTGTTTGTTTATATGCGCATGGTCATGAGTTAATCCTTGATTGGTTTGTTTCTCTGTGTTCTCGCTGTGTAGTAACCCCTGAACCCTAACACTAAACCCTAAACCCTAAATAACCCGTGAGTGTACTTTCGGGTGCTGGTGTTTGTCTGCGGCGAGTCTTTATATCCCAGGAAGCACCTTTTGCGACTTGGCTGGTTCCGTCTTTTTTGACAGGGGCTTAGGTTTTAGGGTTTTTGGATTCAGTTTCTTGTTCACCGTCAAGCCGGATTACACACTCCAAGGCTGCTCATCGCAAGGCCCCTGCGCTTACCTTTGGTTAGTAGGAATGGGGTACAATTATAACTACTATTACTACCATTCTTCCATTCCCTACTGACCAAAGGTAAGTGTGTCACTCTCCCAGAAGCCCCGGTCCTGCGCGTCGGAACTTAGCATCTTCCATTCGGGTCTGTGTATGTATGTCGAAAAAAGGTGGAGCAAGCTCAGAGTTTTGCATCTTCGGGTTTTCGGTTTCTGCTACATACCCAAACCTCCAACTCCCCAGCTGCAGAACTACCCATGATCAATGACACCCTCAACAGTACGGGTTGTGGCAGGGGTGGGAGTTCTGAAAAATTCAAGGGCTCCTTACTTACCCTTGTGTCGTGCTCCATACAAATACTGAAAATCCCAGTGCCTGCTTAGTGGTCCAACAGCTGTATCAACTTTTGGGGGTGTTTATGCAGGGGTCTCATGTTGAAAATGTGAACATTTCAACCCCATGGGGGGTTTTGTGGGAAGTAAGCTTAGGGCTCCTTATTTGCTCCAAACGCCACCCTAGGGTTCAGGGTTTAGGGGTTATGGGTTCTAGGGTTCAGGGTTTAGGGGTTATGGGTTTTAGGGTTCAGGGTTCAGGGTCATTGTGGGGTTATGGGTTTTAGGGTTCAGGGATTCAGGGTTCAGGGTCATTGTGGTTTCTTGCTTAACTTGTACGTACATGTTTTGCAGGCGCGGATGGGCAAAAGCAAGCGATCTCGCATCCGCCTCAAGCTCTTTAACCAATGCCGCGAGATCGCCAAGGACTGGAATCCTAGACCCCGAATTAAGAACGATAGACAATCGTATTGACAATATTAATAACAATAATGATAAAAAGTGTAAAAAGATAACTGTATAATGACTAGGAATGATACTCTTGATATTAACAAAGTAACTAAGAAGTAACTAAGAAAAGGGCGAAACCGAAGAAGATCTTGAAACGCTCAATTTATGGCTTGAGATTTGAAGTTTGAGTTAAAAGGCTTGGTGTTGAGGGTATAGGGTCTGCATATAGGCATCCCGCCAAGTGCGTATGGGGCTTCCAGAGGACGCATTCCATACTCGCTGTCTTCTTGATGGACGTTACTAGAAGTATACACAACTAGGACCCAGAGTAGGCCCTGATTCCTTGTTGGGGGTTTAGGTTCTCTTATAACCCCTTTATCCCAGAAAGGGCACCCTTCTTTATTCCTAGGTTCCTGTTGGGTCTAGACAATGTAAGATAGGGGCCTTAATAGATAAGATTTGGTGCAGGGGTATATCGCATTCGAGTATGAAGCCTCAGAAGTATTATCACTGCCTTCTCCGAACGAAGTTTCAACACGCTTGTAGCCCCAATTCAAGCACTTGTAACCTCCTACCCTCCAGATAAACAAGCGGTGTCTTAATTTGTGGCATTAGGCATGTACAAAAACTGGAAACCCTAGCAATTTAAAGCGCCAAGAAGTTTTGAAGCCTTAAACCCTCAACCCTGAACCGTGGCTAAGTACACATAAAAACTTAGATCCCCAATACCCAAACTGTAAACTTTTTGGGTTCTTCTATAGTTTAGTAGGAGTCGGAAGGTTTAGCCTCGTATTTGTGTGGCTTATTGGGGGAGTAAGAAAAAAAACTGCAGGAGGATCTCCTGGCAGATCATCTCCAGGAAGGAAACGACGGCCTTCTTGAGGAGCCTTGGCTAAGGACTTGGAGCTTCAGGGGTGGTTAGAAGGGTTCCTTTAACGGCCCCTTTAAAGGTATCTATAGGGATTCTAGAAGCGTATAGGGTTTAGGGCCCACTTGGAGGTTCAGGGGTAGTTATAAGCGGGGTTATAAGTAAAGGAACTATGATTACGATTATTAGCGGACTTATAACTTATAACTACCCATGAACCTCCAAGTAGTATTCCCTAGCACTCCTTAGTACGTTTGTATTAGAATAGACCCGAAAGCCATATTCTAACTGCAACGGCCCCTATCTTGCAGAAGCTTGCTAAGGAATTGGTTTAAGGCATTCGGGTTGCGGCGGTTTTGGGTCTAGGTCCACCGCAATCTACAATTGTTTTCCGTAGGGTTCCTTAGTACGCAGGACAAGTCCAGAATCCACAGAGCATTCTTTTCAACTCGTGATATTCACCACTCCCCTATACCCTGACATGCGAAGCTCTCGACCCTCCCAGAAGCGTGAACCCTCTTCCTTGAGTGTGCTCACAACGTCACGCCTTGAACGATGCACTGGCCTCATCAGCAAGACCTTTCAGAAAAGCATTGCCACAATGCCAATGACGATGTCATCGTCGGGTTTTTTTCGGAGTAGGAGTAAGACCAGGATCAGGAGGAGCATGTGGAGTAGAAAGCGGGCGAGGAGCAGGCACTGTAGTAAGCACATGCCCCTGCAGATCCCAGATCTTGGACACGTCCAAATGCCAGCAACCGAGGTACAGGTCATGAAGCAGTTTGACCACGTCATCCCCGAATACGGGCATTGTGCAATTTGTACTTCGTGCCACCTTTGCTCCTGGAACTCAAAACGCGGTCCGCAAAAGAAGCGCTGCTGCTACGAGCCTCCAACTGCACACCCAGCAGTTTGCAGTTGCGGGCGTGCTTCCAATGTACACATCTGTAGCTGTAGGGGAGGCTGTCACCAACTGAATCCGTCGAAGGACCACTACATGGGAGTTTCCGATCATAGGAGACCCTAATATAGTACCGTAAATAGTATGATCCCTATTATCAGGACCCCAAATAAGGTCCGCCTATTTTTCGGAAACTCCCACATGTGCTAGGGCTGTCTTGCGGTGTTCAGGTGTTTTTGGAGGTCTGCGGGCTTTTGAAACTTCGAATTTTTGGTGCTGAAGACCTTGAAGTTGAACTACTTGGGGGATCATGGGACTTTGTAACTAGGGCTCCTTAAAGGGTTCCTAAAAAAGGGATCCATAAGGGCTCTATAAGAGGGGTTTTAGGGTTACTTAAAGGATCATGGGACTTAGTAACTAGGGTTGTAGTTAGGGTAACTAATACTTATAACTAATTATAACCCCATTTAAGGTACTTATAACCTTACTAAGTCCCATGGTCCTCCAAGTAGGCGAGATTCCTTTAAGGGCTCCTTTTCCTGGGCATCAAAAAAGCGCAAAAGCCTTATAAAGTAGATTATAGTAGGTTCTTTGGGCCCCAAAAGCCTTAATATATGAGTCCTTAGATGCCTAGGGTTTAACGGTTCCTTTAAGGGTTCTATAGGGTCTAGGGTTTGGGTTCCATATGTTCCTTTAAGGGTTCTATAGGGTCTAGGGTTTAGGTTCCATATGTTCCTTTAATGGTTCTATAGGGTCTAGAGTTTAGGTTCCATATGTACTGAGCAGTACCCTCTTGCCCTTTCTATTTTTGTGGTCTCCTTGTTAAACACCGAGCATTAGGAAAAGCGTGCTCGTATTATTACAAGCTTTCGGAGGAACCTAATAGGAAACTCAATGCGAAGTTAGCAGAGACAGGAGGGGCCCGGACAGCCCGTCATTCCTGCCGTAGAAATGCTAAATGAAGTAACCCTAAACCCCTTTAAGAAGATAATGATATCACACCAGACGGAATTTGCCGCAAGTCGACCCTGCTTCAGGGATCTATCTTTGACGTAGGGCCTTTTGCTTGGAGGATCATGGGACTTACTAGTAGTTTGGTTTTAGGTATCTTAAATGGGTGCCCTGAAGGCTTCTTTAAGGAGTCTTTGAGGGTTCATAGGGTACTGACTTCCCTGACTAGAGTGATAAGTCCTTGTAAGTGCAGTTACCTTTTCTCATAACTCTAGCTGCTACGGTTGATGATATAAATCCTGCATTACCTTAAGGACCCTAAACTATGGGATTTATGGTATATTACTTATTATGGGTCATGCAGGATTTATATCATCGACCGTAAGTCCCATGATCCTTCAATTCACGCAGGGGCTTCCTGAGCTCTATGGAGTTTGGTGGCTTTTGGTGTTTCGCGTGTGGGTTCTTTGAGAGTTTGGGGGTTTAGGGTTTAGGGCTACGTGTGACTATAGTGATGCCACTTGGGGCTGGACAATTTCTACAAAAACCGGTTCGATGTGACGGATAGCTGAACGAAACCCAACTACAGCCTCAATTGGAGCATCATGCGACTTACTATGTAAGGTCCCCCCTAAGCCCTAAACCCCTAAACCCTGGACCCTATACCCTATACCCGAAACCCTAAACCCTAAACCCACTGCATACCAGGATAGGGAAGCCGATGTGCGGCGGCATCAGAGCGGGCTAAACTGCGCATGCGGACTGGGGGACTTTCAGAACATTTCAGAACTCTAATGGGAGTTTCCGAAAATTTGGGGGTACCTGATTTGGGGTCCTTATAATTAGGATCCTACTATTTAGGGTATTATATTAGGCTCCCCTATTATCGGAAACTCCCAATTTTGTATCCAATAGGGTTTAGGGCTTAGTGCAGAACATAATGGTAGACAAGCACTAAACCGCTCCCACTCCGTCTCCTTCCCACACACATGCACATCGGCGCGCACGCACGCACACACACCGCATGGTCCTTTCTGATTGAATGTACCAACTACCAAGGACAGCGTATGCATCTTCTGTGGTGTTTGCGCGCAGTGCGAAGATGATTCTCATTGCAGCCTGGAGAGACTTACCACCTTGCCAACCCCCGCCAAAGAGATTGCGGAGCTTCTTGAGATGTACAGGAGGAGCGACGCAAAGTCAGAGTAGAAAATTGCAAGCCTGCACAGCCTCCTCGAGATGTACAGGAGCAGCGATGCAGTGTAGGCCAAAACAGCTCCGCACAGCTTCGGGAATCACCGTTGAGGTATGTTGAGGTTGAGGTTTATCTTCAATCCTGAAAGCTTCTAAGCCCTTCGCCGAAACCTTTGCAGCACATGTCAGGAGACCCTCTTGCCACTGCCACTGTGTCGCGTTCCTCTTGAGGTTTCGATGTACGCTGAAAGCATAGAGTTTACAGGGTCTTGCAAGTTCACCGCTGAGGGCTTGGGCAACTTAGGTCCCTGGTTGATTATAGCTGATGATACAAGTGTAACCTCACGGAAGGAGGACGCGAATACAGAGCAAATGCCCCGCTTGGCAAGATCAGGGGCACGCAGCCATGGTTCCTAAACACGTTTAAGAGCGTAGTTGAAAGGAGCAGTAACAGCAATGTTCCTAAGTATTCAGGCTTCTATCTTATGGTAGAGACTCTTCAGTCTCTCAACCCAGCACCAGCCCCAAAGCCCCTTGACAACCTGCCTAGCTCCTCGCCCTGAACGCTCCGGACAGAGCGTACAGAATCCGAAGCCCGATACCCTGAGCCCTGAACCCCTAAATCCCTAAATACTGAATCCTAAACCCTACCTAAGTTTCCCCAAAGAAACCAGGCCCCCTAAAGCCGAAACACCTCAACCCCTAAACCCTAAACAGCAGAAACCCCGTGCCGTAGAGGGCCGTTTACATCCTCAACTCTACATCCCCAAAGCTATACCTAGTAGTAGAGTGGGTAACCTTTAACCTTTTTTTTGTGGGGGTAGTATAGTCCCTATATGATTCTTTTTTAACCCAAGAAAGTTTAACCTTTAGTTCCCCATGATCCCCGACAAGTAGGAACCCTCGTAGAATTGCAAAGCCGCTGAAAGAATCCTTCATGGAACCTCCGAAGTTTACGTAAAACCCCTCGTCGTCTGCCGCACCCTAAACTCTGATTTTTTTAGGGTTTCGGGTTTAGCTAGGGTTTAGGGTTTATAGATTAAGGGCTTAGGGCTTACAGTTCCTTAAGATGGCAGGTCTTGTAGCTAAACCTTAGCTACGTGTTAAGCATGAAGCCCAAAGCCCCCTAACCCTCCTTGAAGGATCATGGGACTTAGTAACTAGGGTTATAATTGGGCTAACTACTAACTATACTTATAACTAGTTATAACTGGGGTTAAGGTACTTATAACGTTGCTTACTAAGTCCCATGATCCTCCAAGTAAGCAAATACTCCCAGTCATAGGACTTTGGCTCCATTTTCGGTACCAAGAACCATGAATAAGGACTACTTGGACCCTCAGGGTGAACCTTAACGCTTAAACCCCAAACCCTAAAGCTTAAATCCTAAACCTGAAAGCTTAAACCCTAAACCCTACAGCTTAAACCTTAAACCTTCAAGGGCAAGCCGAGATTTTCCTTGTTGAGGCCCGAGCTCGCCGAGATCCGTGGGGCGGCCTGGGCCTCGGGCAGGTTTCAGGCTTGATGGAACCAGGGTTCCTTTAACTAGAGTCTTGTTAGGGATTATTCTTGTTTTTGTTCATATAAAACCCAAGAGAAAGTTAAACATAGTATTTGTATTATGGTTCTAAGGCGGTTGTAGTTCAGCGTCCCTGTAAAGGGATCTATGGGGATTCTATAAGGGTATAGGGTTTCTGGCCCACCCGGAGGTTAATGGGTAGAAGCTTACTTGGAGGTTCATGGGTAGTTGTAAGGGTTTCATAAATGGGGGTTTCCGAAGATAGGGGTACCTTATTTTGGGGTCCCTATAATAACGATCCTACCATTTAGGGTAGTATGTTAGGGTCCCCTATTTTCGGAAACTCCCAAAGGGTTCTATAGCCTTCGAAGACTCGTTAAAAGGCGCCGTACGCCGCATAATTTTGGGAGAAAGGAGCAGCACCGTATTTTGCAATAGCAAAACCCTAGGGATCAAAATAGCCCAAATATAGTATGGTCTTTGGGCCCAAAAGCCATAATATGTGAGTCCTTAGATCCCTAGAAAAAGTGCCCAGCTCCGGAACTCGGTACCGAAAACACTAAAGAGCTTTCGCGGGGTTTAGGGTTTAGGGTTTCTTGCATCCTGTCATAGGGATCCCATAGTTTGTCATGAAGTGGTTCTATAAGATTGTTGTTCATGCTGGTTGTTTAGTGACGGGTTCTGAACTATTGAGTTTTTTTTTATCTGACCCGTAAGCATATGCCTTATCTGAGGGGTCGTTTAGTAGGAATCGGAAAGTTTAACATTTTGTTTCTGTGGCCTATTGTGGAGTAATTTAGACCCACCTCACTACGATGGTTTAATGAAGTCTCCTCAATAAGGGGATATGGGGCCCTCTGGGCTCCTTCAGTGGTAATTTAAACTCTTCTTTTGTCTTCGAGCTTAAGACTCAGGGCTGTTGCAATCACAAGGTTTAGAACCTCAAAGATTTGGGAGTTGAGGGCTGCTGAATCAAAGCTACGCATTCTTAGGAGGGTCTGACTCAGACGTCGGGCGTCAGTGGGGTTGAGCCCCAACACGGCGACTATAGAGCCCGTGGCATGGACGAAGCGATTCCGTTCACGTTGCATCTTTGGACCAGTGACTGCCGCGGTAGGGATTTAGGGCTTAGGGTTTATGGGTTTAGGATTTAGGGCTTAGGCTTTAGGGGTTTAGGATTTAGGGCTTAGCTTTAGGGGTTTAGGATTTAGGGCTTAGGCTTTAGGGGTTTAGGATTTAGGGCTTAGGGTTTAGGGGTTTAGGATCTGGGGCTTAGGCTTTAGGGGTTTAGGATTTAGGGCTTAGGCTTTAGGGGTTTAGTGTGGTACCCCAATCTGCCAAAGCTTCCGAGCAGGTTGAACAAGCACCTCAATCCGACAGAGGGAGCCTCTCAAGCAGTTGGAACTCCAGATGAGGTCATCCATTCAAAGGGGAAAAGGAGGGACCCTTAATGGGGACCCCTACCCTATAATGGGCTATATAATGGGTATATAATGGCTATATTAAGGTTCTATTGGGGTCCTTATTAAGGGTCCCTCCTTTTACCCTTGGCCATTGCTTCGTCCCAGCGACCAGGTGTATTGTGCTGTCGATCGGAATCTCAACTGGAGATGCTGCTGACCACCCAGAGCCTCCAAAACCCTTGAATTAAGGAATATACCTCAAATCATATTAGGGCTCCTATTATAGTTTAAGGTATATTCCTTAATTAAGGGGTTTTTGGAGTCTCTGGGCACGACCTTTGTAGCATGTGTGTGCCGGCGGTCCTCGTCGACCAGGGCCCCGAGTTCGGAGCATATGTGCTGACATTCTTCGAAAATCCAGGCGATCCCATCCCATCCCATCCGTCCATCCTAAACCCAGACCTGTATGGGCGCGGACCCTTGCAGATTCCCTCAAAGCCATGCTTGCCGGAAAAAAAACCTTAAACCATAGCCTTAACAAAAAGCCCTGTCAAACCCTTCAACCCGAAACCCGCCACCCTTCTACCCTGAACCTGAACGAAACCCAAACTCCTGAGCCCTAAACCCTCAACTCGAAGCAGTGACTTGAGCCAGGAGCTAGTGGTGGTCTTCGAGCGTTTAGTCGCACTTGGCATGGCGCCGCCCAAGGCCAAGGGTGTTTGGGTGTTAGAGGATTTCAGGTTTCTTGGCGGTGTTGGGGCGTGTAGAGGTTGATAGGGTTTCATAAATCGGTGGTTTGCTTGCAGGCATGTGGTATAGGGTGTTGGTTCTGGGGGAAAATGGTTTGAGAGCCGGATTTGAAAACTGTAGCGTTAAGGTGTGGTTAAACCGCTAATTTTTACAGCCTAGGTTTAGTGTTTAGGGGTTTGGTCCTGGGTCATAGAGTTGGGACTTTAAGGATTTGTTCTACAGGGCTGCATCGCCTGTTAGAAGGGTTGTTTTAGAAGTTTAATGTCTTCTCCAAAAATTTCTTGCTGATCTGCGACTATATACAACAAACATATATATATATATATATATATATATCTTATGTGTATGTGTATATATATATATATATATCAGTTATGTATGTAAATGTAGGCATATATATGCACACACATCCGTCCGTCCGTCCGTCCATCCATCCATCTATCCATACATACATCCATACATATATGTGTGTGTATACGGACATATAGTCTGTCATACGTGTTGATTAGGATTTCGGGTGGTGGGGTGTCGGGTTGCATCCTAAGAGGTGGTCAGCGGTTTGTCGTATCAACTTTCTAGTCTGAAAGCTTCATTAGGTAGGTTGAGACATTTTCTACCACAAACCCTAAATTCCTTTAGCATTTTCCATTTTCCTGGCCTCAGGGATCTACCAATATTGTTCAGTGGCTCTCAAGACAAAAATCCTAGTTCATGTTTACGGTTCGGAAATTTAGGCCTCGGCGGCTTGTTGTTGTTTAGGGTTTTGTGGTTTTTGGTGTTTTAGGATATTTTTTGGTTCGTTTGGAATCTCTCGGATCGGCTTCCAGGTTGGCGCCTTGGCTTGGGGGGTTTACTTGAAGGATCATGGGGCTCAGTAACTATGGTTATATATACAAATATGAAATATTATTGAATATATTGTTCAATATATATATATATAGATATGTATAAATAAGGTAACCATACTTCTAACTACTAATAACTACTTGTAAGCAATTTAGGTTTTAGGGTTTAGGGTTTAGGGGTCAGCAGTGTGTCTGGGAACTAGACCCTACACCCTTCTACAACCTTGAAAGAACTTTATAGAACCCATAGATCTTGCATAAACGTGTGTATGCACATGTATATGTACCAATGTATGCAAGTATATAAGTACAATGTATCTGTATGACTACCGAAAAGAATAAACATCATGTATCTAGATTCCTATTTTGAAACATGCATCGGGTGTGTGTGTGTGTGTGTGTGTGCATGAGTGTACCTTGGCTTTAACCCTAAACCCTACCCCCCTAAACCCTGCACCCCTAAACCCCTAAACTCTACACCCCTAAACCCTTAAACCC